ATTTATCAGAAACATATGCGTGAAAGAATGTGAGCATGTGTATGAATGAGTGTAAACTCCATTTCTACTAAACAACAACACAAAACAAGCATTTAACATTTAGTTTTTTTACAAATTATACACTTACAGTTTGTTTCATAGTCCATGAATACAGATCAGGCATCGCTGCCAATTTTCATGATCTCTTTAGCATAATTGATGTAGTCATGAAGAAGCCCCATCAGCACAGCAAAGGCATGTGACATCTTTTACATTATCCAGGGCAGCCTCCTCCTTTAAAACCACTGTTCCATCAGTTTGGGGGAAAGGGCATTCTCCTCCTCTTTGACCAGCATTCATCCCAGTCACCACCTGTTCTTCATCAGTGGCCTAAAAAGAGAAAAACATTTGAAAAAAGAAAACATTTAATTAAAATCTATCCATTTTCAGATAGAGGTGCATCCACATCGGTAAGGATAGGTAAATAGTCTGTTTTATAATTTCAACCACATTGTGTGGTTGTTTAATGTCTCTGTAATGGCAGCACTAGTGTGAGGGCATGTAATATTGTTTAAATAAATATATTGCTTTCAGAAAGCTACTTCTTTACTGAAACATTAAAACAGACATGACATTCACATACCTCACAAATTTTAATGTACGTGGAGGGCTGCTCTTTAAAGGGTTAGTGCACCAAAAAATGAAAATCGTCATAATTTATTCTCCCCCATGTTGTTCCAAACCCAAACAAACTCTGCTAATTTTTGGAACACAAATAAATATATTTAATATTCTCTTAATTTTTGTCCTCTATTGCAAGTCTGGGAGACCAATATTTTCTTCTGAACAGACATGTTCACTATGATATAATTTAAGATTTATTCATAAATAAATATTGGCATGGATTACTTCTACAATAACTCTGTATTTTTCATGAAGAAGCCCCATCAGCACAGCAAAGGCATGTGACATCTTTTACATTATCCAGGGCAGCCTCCTCCTTTAAAACCACTGTTGCATCAGTTTGGGGGAAAGGACATTCTCCTCCTCTTTGACCAGCATTCATCCCAGTCACCACCTGTTCTTCATCAGTGGCCTAAAAAGAGAAAAACATTTGAAAAAAGAAAACATTTAATTAAAATCTATCCATTTTCAGATAGAGGTGCATCCACATCGGTAAGGATAGGTAAATAGTCTGTTTTATAATTTCAACCACATTGTGTGGTTGTTTAATGTCTCTGTAATGGCAGCACTAGTGTGAGGGCATGTAATATTGTTTAAATAAATATATTGCTTTCAGAAAGCTACTTCTTTACTGAAACATTAAAACAGACATGACATTCACATACCTCACAAATTTTAATGTACGTGGAGGGCTGCTCTTTAAAGGGTTAGTGCACCAAAAAATGAAAATCGTCATAATTTATTCTCCCCCATGTTGTTCCAAACCCAAACAAACTCTGCTAATTTTTGGAACACAAATAAATATATTTAATATTCTCTTAATTTTTGTCCTCTATTGCAAGTCTGGGAGACCAATATTTTCTTCTGAACAGACATGTTCACTATGATATAATTTAAGATTTATTCATATATAAATATTGGCATGGATTACTTCTACAATAACTGTATTTTTGAAGCTTGAAAATACTGATGATCTAGACTTTCAATGGATTAACAAAAAATGATGAGAGAAAATTAAAAATATCTTCATTTGTGTTCTAAACAAAAAGTCTTATAGGTTTGGAATGGCATGAGGACAAGTAAATTATTTTTTGTGTGAACTATTCCTTTAAGAAAGGAAGACCAAGAATGATGACTCTCCAAATCAGACAACTCCAAAGTTGGTTTGAGTTCTGCAATGAAAAACACGGACGTAAATGGTTTAAATAAAATATGAACATGTAATCATACTGTTGTTGCATCAAAATGTGAGGTAAACAGGCAGGAGACGGCAGAAACATTTATTTTCTAAAAATAACTCCAATCAATCTCAAAAGAATAATGCTCTCCTATGCCTCTGGCTGTCAACATCTACAAAAACAAACATTATTTTACTCTTAGTAAAAAAAAACTGATAACATGATGGAATTATGAACTTTACTTACGTTAACCGTCTTTCCCTCTCTTCTGAAGAAGCGGAGAAAATCGCCTCCTCACACAAGCAAGGTTCTGTGTTGTTAACACCTGGTGCGGGCACAATGAAGACACAAATCTCAACATGTCTGAAATATAACATGCAAAACATTACTTTGAACAATTATCACTTCATCAGCCTCAAAATAATTAGGCTAGTCTTTATTACATAACGCCGTTTCCTTTAGGAAACTACATTTAGTTTAACCGCGAAAAAATATATAACGAATGAACATGTAAATATGTTAATAACCCTCTCTTAACACCTCAACAAATTTAAATATTATAAAATCTTATGTAAATATGACATAAGACACTCACTGACATTATATTAAAGTGGTCATATGATGCGATTTCAATTTTTCCTTTCTCTTTGGAGTGTTACAAGCTCTTGGTGCATAAAGAAGATCTGTAAAGTTGCAAAGACTAAAGTCTCAAATCCAAAGAGAGATTCTTTATAAAAGATAAGAGTCAGCCACGTCTACCTAAAACGGCTCGTTCTAACACGCCCCCAACATGTCTACGTCACGATGTGGAAAGATTTGCATAACGCCACCCAAATGTTCACGCAAAGAAAGAAGGCATAACTTTTATTCTCGCTGTAGTCTTGTTGCCGCCGCCGCCATGTCGTGAAGATACTGTGTGCTTCGTTGTGAAAGCGAAACTACTTTGTTTGGCCTTCCAAAAGAGGATGATATCTGCTTCGTCATGCCTGGAGCTGATTTGCTGGTTGCTGAGGAAATACTTCAACTTCACGCTGTGCGTCGCCGGATTGGCTTTCACCGTGGACGAAGCGGAGTCCAGCCCGGGGTCTTCACATGTGGTTGCCGCAGGCATCACAATATGGTAAAGGACATAACATTTCCTTCACACGCTTGAGGAATTCTGCCAATCACAACGCACTGGATAGTTGGCCAATCAGAGCACACCTCGCTTTTTCAGACCGATAAGTTTTGTAAAAATCGACGCGTTTCAGAAAGGCGTACATTAGAAACAATAATGTACAGTATGTGGAAAATAATGTGGGTTTTTTTTACCTTAAACCGCAAAAACACATTTCATTACACCAAATACACAAAATAATGTTCTTTTTAGCAGCATCATATGACCCCTTTTAAAGCACCTCTTCCATTCAGTAAAAGAGTAAAACAGACTAAGACCAAGACTATTTCTGAGGCGAAATCCGCGTCCGCGTATTTTTCAATATAAGCTCTTTTCTGAATATTTCCGCCTTCCATGAAATCTCAAGATACTACCGGACTCAAACAATGAATGATGACTTTACATTTTTAATCTTTACTTACCATAAACCGTCTTTCACTCGGACTCGCTTCCATCTGAAGACGCTGAGAAAATGGCGGCTTCTCGCACTGGTGTCGTCGAGATACGTCCGATGTTAACGTGACGTTCGTGCTCTCTTTCACGTCTGCGTTCCCAACCCAGCACCGCTGGGTTATTGATCAAGATCAATTTTCAACCCAAAATTGGGGCTTTTTCAGACCGATAAGTTTTGTAAAAATCGACGCGTTTCAGAAAGGCGTACATTAGAAACAATAATGTACAGTATGTGGAAAATAATGTGGGTTTTTTTTACCTTAAACCGCAAAAACACATTTCATTACACCAAATACACAAAATAATGTTCTTTTTAGCAGCATCATATGACCCCTTTTAAAGCACCTCTTCCATTCAGTAAAAGAGTAAAACAGACTAAGACCAAGACTATTTCTGAGGCGAAATCCGCGTCCGCGTATTTTTCAATATAAGCTCTTTTCTGAATATTTCCGCCTTCCATGAAATCTCAAGATACTACCGGACTCAAACAATGAATGATGACTTTACATTTTTAATCTTTACTTACCATAAACCGTCTTTCACTCGGACTCGCTTCCATCTGAAGACGCTGAGAAAATGGCGGCTTCTCGCACTGGTGTCGTCGAGATACGTCCGATGTTAACGTGACGTTCGTGCTCTCTTTCACGTCTGCGTTCCCAACCCAGCACCGCTGGGTTATTGATCAAGATCAATTTTCAACCCAAAATTGGGTTAAAACAACCCAACGTCCTTACCCAGCGGTCTCAACCCAGCATTTGGGTTGAAAAAACAACCCAGAATTTTTTAGAGTGTATGCTGCCTGAGCTGCGGCTTTTTGCATGCGTGCGTGCGCACAGAAATGGTCTATCACAGCACGCAGGTACCGCACTGAAATCTCTTTCGCGCTGTCTCACGCTTGAATGGCTTAAAACACTTTAATGTTTAAACTGACAATGTTTAAAACATGTGAGAATGTTAAACTTTCCTGAGGAAGCAGCACTAGCCCTATCGTTCAGATAGGTGATTAGTTAAACACTGGAGCATCCTGTTAACCGCAGGTAACATTAAGCATATTGTACTCGCAGGTCAACATAAAATATCTTACGTACCACTACTGGTAAACAAGCCAGTGTAATGTAAATATGTCTGAAAGGTCTGCAAGAGATCTCGTCACACCCCTAGTACTTAAGGCTGTATGAGGCCCTCCTTTTGAGCTGCTTAAAACGACCAGTAATTATTATAAAATATATAAATTTTATATGAAGAAATATCTGAACAGTTTCATTTTTATATTTATTTAAATCTGGCTCACAATTTTTAAATTTTTGAAAAATTTTGAAAAGCTGGCTTGTACTTATTAAACATTTAGTAATACTTCTCACTACAAAACCTGTGCCTGTAATGTTTTATTAGTACTTGGATAATAAAAGTACCCAATTCAGATAAATGCTTCAAAATGTTTATACTTTCTACTGTTTTCTCAAGTTGTGCATTTTTTCCTTTCACATTAAAAAAAAAAAAAAAGATTCCGAGAACCTTTTTTTTACTAAACATTTTTACTTTAATTTTAGACTTGATAGAAGAGAACAAGGAGATTGAAGAACTGATTAAAGAGGGGGAGAACCATCATGTCAAAACTGAAGAAACACCCTGGAGATCCTCATTGACAAGAAGAGACAAAACATGGCCTGAGTGTGAAAAGAGTCTCTCATGCAAGCAAAATCTTGATATTCACATAAAATGTCATCTTGAAGGGAAGCTGTACACATGTGATCAGTGTGAAAAGACTTTCACAATAAAAGGAAACCTTACAAAACACATGAATATCCACACTGGAGAGAAGCCGTACACATGTGATCAGTGTGAAAAGACATTCACGGTAAAAAAATACCTTACAAAACACATGAAAATCCACACTGAAGATAAGCCGTACACATGTGATCAGTGTGGGAAGAGTTTCACACAAAAAGGATACCTTGATGCACACCTAAAAACCCACAATGGAGAGAAGCCGTACACATGTGATCAGTGTGGGAAGAGTTTCACACATAAAGGATACCTTGATGCACACCTAAAAACCCACACTGGAGAGAAGCCATACACATGTGATCGGTGTGGGAAGAGTTTCAGACAAAAAGGAGCCCTTAATGTACACATGAGGATCCACACTGGAGAGAAGCCGTACACATGTAATCAGTGTGGGAAGAGTTTCAGACTTAAGCAAACTCTTAAAGAACACATGATGATCCACACTGGAGAGAAGCCGTATGCATGTGATCAGTGTGGGAAGAGTTACACACAAAAAGGAGCCCTTAATGTACACATGAGGATCCACACTGGAGAGAAGCCGTACACATGTGATCAGTGTGGGAAGAGTTTCAGGAAATGTGATGTTTTTAAAAAACATCTGCTTACTCATTCTAGAGAGAGACTAGAAAACTGTGACCAAAACAGTAGAACATTTCTAAAGGACCGTCTGAAAGCTCATACGAAGGAGAAGCCTTACATATGTTATTTATGTGGAAAGAGTTTTAGTCAGATGGTTGCATTAAAGATACACCAGAAAAGACACATCGGTGTGAAGGTTCATGCTTGCTCTAAGTGTGGGAAGACTTTTTTTACATATGGTGCGATGAAAGTGCACCAGACAGTTCACACTACAGAAACACCTTACAAGTGCTCACACTGTGACAAGAGCTTCAAACGGTCAGACTACCTGAGAATACATGAGAGGATCCACACTGGAGAGAAGCCGTATGCATGTGATCAATGTGGGAAGAGCTTCAGACTAAAAGAAATGCTTAATCGACACATGGATATCCACAATGGAGAGAAGCCACACACATGTGATCAATGTGGAAAGAATTTCAGACAAAAAAGGAACCTTATCAAACACATGAAAAGACACACTGGAGAGAAGCAACACACATGTGATCAGTGCGGGAAGGGTTTCTTAGACAAAGGAAACCTTAAAGACCACATGAATATCCACACTGGAGAAAAGCCATACTCATGTGATCAGTGTGGCAGGAGTTTCGCACATAAAGGAAACCTTATCAAACACATGAAAAGACACACTGGAGAGAAGCCACACACATGTGATCAATGTGGGAAGAGTTTCGCAGAAAAGGCAACCCTTAATGAACACATGAGGATACACACTGGAGAGAAGCCACACACATGTGATCAGTGTGGGAGGAGTTTCACACAAAGAGGAACCCTTATTGCACACAAGAAAACCCACAGTGGAGAGAAGTCATATACCTGTGATCAGTGTGGGAGGAGTTTCACACAAAGAGGAACCCTTATTGCACACAAGAAAACCCACAGTGGAGAGAAGTCATATATCTGTGATCAGTGTGGGAGGAGTTTCACACAAAGAGGAAACCTTATTGCACACAAGAAATCCCACAGTGGAGAGAAGCCATATACATGTGATCAGTGTGGGAGGAGTTTCAAACGAAAAGAAAGCCTTCATGATCACATGAGGATCCACACTGGAGAGAAGCCGTACACATGTGATCAGTGTGGGAAGAGTTTCATACGAAGAGTAACCCTTTACAAACACAAGAAAACCCACACTGGAGTGAAACGGCACCAGACAGTTCACACTACAGAAACACCTTACAAGTGCTCACACTGTGAAAAGAGCTTCAAACGGTCAACACATCTACAAATACATGAGAGGATCCACACTGGAGAGAAGCTGCACACATGTGATCAATGTGGGAAGAATTTCAAACGAAAAGATAAACTTCATGATCACATGAGGATCCACACTGGAGAGAAGCCATACACATGTGATCAGTGTGGGAGGAGTTTCACACAAAGAGGAAACCTTATTGCACACAAGAAAACCCACAGTGGAGAGAAGCCATATACATGTGATCAGTGTGGGAAAAATTTCAAGCGAAAAGAAAGCCTTCATGATCACATGAGGATCCACACTGGAGAGAAGCCGTACACATGTGATCAGTGTGGGAGGAGTTTCATACGAAGAGTAACCCTTTACAAACACAAGAAAACCCACAGTGGAGAGAAGTCATATACATGTGATCAGTGTGGGAGGAGTTTCACACAAAGAGGAAACCTTATTGCACACAAGAAAACCCACAGTGGAGAGAAGCCATATACATGTGATCAGTGTGGGAGGAGTTTCAAACGAAAAGAAAGCCTTCATGATCACATGAGGATCCACACTGGAGAGAAGCCGTACACATGTGATCAGTGTGGGAGGAGTTTCATACGAAGAGTAACTCTTTACAAACACAAGAAAACCCACACTGGAGTGAAACAGCACCAGACAGTTCACACTACAGAAACACCTTACAAGTGCTCACACTGTGAAAAGAGCTTCAAACGGTCAACACATCTACAAATACATGAGAGGATCCACACTGGAGAGAAGCCGTATCACTGCCATTCATGTGGGAAGAGATTCACTCAATTATATTCTTTAATCTGTCACAAATTACATGTCTGCATGTCTGAAATTACAGTAAGTAGATGAAGTTCTGATCCTGTACTTCCAGGTGCTAGGTAGGGCTGCATCAAGTAATTATTTTGCTAATCGATTAATCAGAGATTATTAGAATGATTAATCAACTATTCTTTGATTATTTCACAGATTAACCAGTATCTTTATTAATTATTTGGCTTGTGGAGTTTGTTAAAATGTTGAGTTACACCCATTCTAACTAATAAATAAAACAAGGAAATCACTTCAGTTTTTAAACATTTATTTTTAATATAGTTTGAGTAAACTGAATTATTATCCTCTTCAGGTTTTCTGTCCTCCTCAGTAGTCATCAATACACCAACTTTGCTCAGAACTGAAACACAAAAATAAATGGGAATTTCACAACACATAGGAGGCTAAAATATGAATCTATAAACTATTGTTACTTAGATCCCCTTGTGAGCACTGTGGCCGGCAATCTTGAGAACGCTGAGGCTTGTCTGAGTTAATTATAAAATTTAAGACCATTTTTTTATGAAGGCATACGTGTTATAGTTTGTGTTTGTGTGTAAATTAATCTCTTAACACTAAATGCCAATAATGTGGCCACTGGCAGACCACAGACAGTTGTTTATTCACTGCAGTGCATTAGGGCTAATAGAAAGCCAGTTAATGTAAAGATTTTTAAAAGTACTATTAATAGCATTAATATTATTTTCGTGCCATGACCATGGGGGCCGGAACATGTGCAACATGCGCACTTACACTTAATTTCATTTAATTAGGCAAAATATTTAACATTTTATGCTCATTTTGAGCACCAAATACGTGCTGTATAGTTGTTTAGTTGATGTTTCTCACTAAGCAACTGCATGCAGTGTAAGATGACGAACAGGTTTGAGCCAGGCATGAATCATTTTAACACCTAATTTTTTTATTAACCTCACCTATTTATCATCTTAACACCTAATTTTTTTTTCACAATTAACCTCACCTATGTAAATACACAGCATCACACCATCTTCTTTCAGCCTAAAGTAATGACATATATGTATGGTTAAGGCTGATTGGTCTCTCACCAATGAGAAACCTTTAGGCACACCCATTTCTCTGACGTGCAGTAGCTGTCTCTTACACTAGAAAGAAGCAGGTTAGAAATAAAATCAATAAACAAAATATTTAGAAAGTATGGCAACAGCGTTGGGACACATAAACCAAATGTAAACATTTGTATCAATACAGTCAGCAGTGGGTAAGAGTATCAGGTTGGAGGAGAACATAATTACAAGGTTGAACAGTAGCTACAATGCATTTAATAAGCAAACATCCAACCGATCTATGTGAGGTATGTGACGTTAATGAAACAGTTGAACATGTTATAGTGTACTGTAGGAAATATACTGTGGAAAGAAATTAGTTAAAGAACAAATTAGAGAATATGGGTGAGTTTACAATTAAGAATTTATTAAATCCAGGCAGAAATATAATACCATTTATGTTACAATATTTGGGAAGTACTGGTTTGCACAAGTGAATGTAAGTATGTTTTTTTAATGTAATCTAAATCCTGCCAAGAGGGCTGAGGGTGGACAGAGGAGCTGAACACGCAGTGCTGGATGAAGCTCTATGAAGACTCTAAAAGGGTACAAGACTCAAGGGTGATTGAATGTGGGTTGTTAGGCAAATCAGGATTGTAGATAGAGGCTGCATCCGAAATGGCATACTCAATGAGTAGGTACTTAATTTCAATAAGTACTTACTTAACGAGCACTAAAAGAGTATGTACTTGTTGGATTACAAATTTATAAAATGTTATATCTAGGTTCCAATGTAATAGTATATAAACTGAAAAAGTTATGTACATTGTTTTTAGCATTTAAGGTAAATATGATGACATCAGACAAATGATTCTCTTAAGCAAAGTTTGTAGCAAGAGGTTCCTGTTCTCTTATTGTTAGTCAAATGAACCAGATTACTGAGACTATCACCTTTTGTTTGTAATGGTTATTGGTGCCTCTGCCCCAGTCTTTGAGTAGTTATGCTGATTGGATTAGGACTGGTGAAAAAGGGCAGGTTGCTATACCTGAATACTTCATTTGCATGCTTGCAGGTCGTCACCCAAGTGCTTTGTCTCCATTTCTAAGCACTGATCCCTAAATGTATATAAACTACAATGTATCACTGCCTTAGTTAGACTTGGATGACTGCAGCGACGCACAGCGAGTCCTCAATAAAGAGTAACTTCTGTATGAAAAATATCCCAATGTCTCCTGGTTTCTGCTTCAACAAGGAAAAAGTTTCCTACAGTTTTGGGGCCGTGACCCGGATAGAGCTCCTCACCTGAATCCATATTGAAACTTCAAGCTCAACAAAGATCTGACTTCGTTCCAGACTGAATCTTTCTGTACAACCAAGGGTTGGTGAGTGCCACTCTATCCAAAAGAACCTTTAAGACCAGTACAAATTTGTTATCCTCTGTGCCGTCAGAGAAGAGTTAACAGACAGCTGTAGGGTTTGGTTAACTAAGTTATCCTCTAAAAAAAATATTTTAGAGATGAAGGTTATCCTCTGTCCAGGCAGAGAAGATTAGCATTATGTGCTAATATTGGTTATCCTCTGTTCAGGCAAGGAAGATTAGCATGACGTGCTAATATTGGTTATCCTCTGTTCATGCAGGGAAGATTTAACATTACGTGTTAATATTTGTTACCCTCTGTTTCGGCAGGGAAGCTTAGCGTAAAGTGCTAGTAATTTGTGTTATCCTCTGCTTTGCCAAGGAAGGTTAACAATAGTTGATCTGTGTTAACAAGTGTACCCTCTGTTGATCAGAGAAGTTTGTGTTTTGATTGTGGTAACAAAGAAACTCACAAAATGTTTAGAAAGAATGCTAGACTGATCCCCACAACTGAAAAAGGTGGTCTCGTGACTCCTTTGTGGTCAGATAGCGAATTCAAATCACTGTTAGGAGTGCAAATGAACCTAATAATCACTGAGAAAGTTAGACAGGAACTAACTCAGAAATATGAGATCCATCCAGACAAGACTTGGTCTGTAGATGAGTGTAAAAAGGTACTAGGAGCATGTATTCGCAAGAACAATGTGAAAGGCATTATCTGCTGCCACAGAGAATTTGGTTTAGCGCTAGCTACACAACAGTCTCGGCTTAACTCAGAGCTAGAGGAACAGAACAAAGAGCTCCGTGCTAGAGTATCCTCTTTGCCTAAGAAATTGAACCGCAACAAAGCTGCAGCAAAAACTTATGTGGAAGAAGTTAGTCAGCCTGATAACAATTATCCTGACTTACAAGCTTTCTTTGAAACAGATGTAGCCATCCAATCAGTAACTGATGTGCCTGTAGATTCAGTGAAGGTATGTGGCGCTACGAGAAGATCTCAGGGATTTGAGGGAATTGAAAGTGTTCCTCCCAACTCTTCTGTTGTCCAAGTACAAGCTGTTGCCAAAGCACTAGGACCTAAAGATATAGAGAGACTCTCCCAGAGCTTACCCTCAGCACGCACAAATTTTTCTGAATTTAGAAGAGCATTGATCAGCAAAATGCGTCTCTACGACATGTCGTTAGCAGAAGTCACACAGCTGATGTCACAAATTCTAACTGAATCTGAATTCAACAGTTTTGAGTCTGCTGTTACTTCTGAACTACAACATGCCAGTAAAGGCGATTTGAGAGAAGGTGTTTTGAAAATTCTAAAGAATATCATGGGACCCAAAATAGACAGAATCACTAACTGTGTGCAAAGGAAAGAAGAATCTGTGAGTGAATACACTGAAAGATTTTGTTAGTCAGCTGCAGCATACAGTGGAATAGCTGACACTCCAGAGAAGGTACTGGACCATAAAGGACCACTAGTTCGAGCATGGTTTGATGGCCTTTTATCAGAGTACAGATCTGCTTTGCCATTCTTAGATCTAACATGGTCCACTGGAAGTTTGCAAAACAGCTTGGACAGGTTAGCTACATGGGAAAGAGACTGATGTTAAAGCCAGAGTAAAGATTGCAGCAGTATCCTTTCAGGTCAACACAGAGAACCGACAGAAACGTAAAGGTCCTAAGAGGGAGGGCAGTTTCATTACTGTGGTAAACCTGGACACTGGATGGAAGAGTGTAGGAAAAGCAAGAAGCCATTAGAAGAAATGAACAGCTTTACTCAGCTCCTACTCAATCTACTTACTACTCTGAAGCAGCCCCTCCCCACTTCACCAAACTGTTGGAGCAGCTTGCTCAGGTGTTAACAGTTAGGGCTGTGAGTGCTTAATTTCCCCTGTAGTCCATCACAATCACAAAATAATTTTTGTGAAAGGTAGCATACAAGAGAAAGAGATTGACTTTTTGCTTGATACAGGTGCAGAAATTACAGTAATTCCTACAAAATTGGCAGACAGACAAAACAGACAGACTGTAAACGTAAGATGCCCTCATGCAGTGTCCGCACTAATGAATCAAGCAAAATTCACTTCTGTCACCTCCTCTCGTTGGGGAAATTGGTTAACAACCCTCACAGCCCCTAACATTGTTTTACAGCGTGCATCAGTCACGAACCCATCCTCATGTATGATGTCTGCAATGACTGAAGTTGTGTTAGAGGATGAAAGAGAAATGACTTGTGTTACGCTTACATACGCACCTACGAGTGAAGTAACAGAAACTCCCATAGAGAATGCCGATTTGGAGTTGTTTGTTGATGGTTCAGCTCAAGTCATTGAAGGTAGAAATGACTTGTGTTACGCTTACATACGCACCTACGAGTGAAGTAACAGAAACTCCCATAGAGAATGCCGATTTGGAGTTGTTTGTTGATGGTTCAGCTCAAGTCATTGAAGGTAACAGACGAGCAGGCTATGCAGTCTCTTCCACCACTGAAGTGGTAGCTTCAGGTCATCTTCCAGATCATTTTTAAGCTCAAGCTGCAGAACTAGTAGCCTTAACTAGAGCATGCACGCTAGCTTCAGGATCGGTTGCAAATATCTACACTGATTCCAGGTATGCTTTTGGGGTAATTCATGATTTTGGTGTCATTTGGCAAAGTAGACCATTTCTAACTTCTACTGGATCCACCATTAAGCATGCTGGATTAGTGAAAGATCTAATGTTTGCCATGAAACTTCCAAAGAAATTAGCGGTGATCAAAGTGAAAGCACATCTAACATCTAATACTACGGAAGCTAAAGATAATGCTCTTGCTGATGTAGCTGCTAAACAAGCTTGTTCCTATGCAACTGTACAAGTGTGTTCAGGTAGTACAGCACAGAAGACAATTCTGCCTCCTGAATCAATCATTGATCTGTACAAAGACGTTCCTCAAAATGAAGCATGGACATGGTTAGACAAAGGAGCCACAGTGGATTCATCCGGCTGCTGGACCAAAGGGGGAAAGTATGTCACTCCCGAATCACTGCTACCATACACAATTTGGGTCACAGTGGTCCAGCAACGATTCATTTGCATGCT